TCATCCTGAATGCCTTCAGCCACTGCTCATTGTCCCAGGTGTGCTGGACAATGTGCAGCCACCAATCTGGCTGGCCCGGCAGGCCCAGAGGCAGCGGGGCTGGAGGCCCAGGTGGGCAAGGGCAGCTCCAGCAGTGATGTCGAGCACCACATTGTTGGCGTCCCTCTGGCCATCCAGACAGGGTCCAGGCAGCAGCTGCGTGGTGGCAGTAGCCCTAGGATGGAGTGCTGCAGCCTTGCAGGCAGTCACTGCATGTAGAGGATCTAGGAGGACCCAGATGGCCATTGGCCAGCCACTGGTCAGCATGGCAGGCCAGCCAGGCCAGTGTGATGGTCAACAGAATCCTGGGCCATTGTTTTTTGCTGCCAGGGATGGGGTGGAGCAGCCATGGCACAGGGAGAAAGAGTTGGTGAGGAAAGAGCTGCTGCATGCAGCCCCTGCACTGTGCACACTGCTCCTGGCCAGGGAAGTTGCAGGCCAGGAAGCAGAGAGCAGGGCTGCCTTTTCAAGAGGGCTACGGGCCACAGGCAGCTGTGGCCAGAGCCTCCAGCTTTCCCTGGTGGTGGCAGCGGACCATTGCAGAGCCCCAGGAAGTGAAAGCAGCTTGCTGCCATTGGCAGCAAATCTGCTCCTGCTTTTCTGCACATGTAGATGCTTGCCCAGGAGCGTTTACTCACGAGTAAACTGATTCCGCATCAAATGCATGTGTGGATGCACTCAGTAAGCATCACCGTCTACATGTGCAGATGCTTACTGCACAGTAATTTGCTCTAATCTCAAGTAAATTTCCTACCTCATGGGTGACTGGTGCCTCTTGAGTTGGGGGGGGGGGCATGTGCCCCCCCCAACACCAGTCAGCAACCAGGGGGAGTCCCCTGGCCAATCCCACTGCCTGGTGGGGTGGGGGGAATCTGCCGGCAGCCAATCAAACTGACCAACGGCAGAGCCTTGCAGCTAATCTCACTCACCAAGTCCCACTGCCACTTCTGGCCGGTGCTCGCAGAGGGGCACTGGCACTCTCGCCTGCCCCCCTGCCTGCTGGCTTAACAGGGAGCGTGGCCTGACAGGGAGTGCACCAGCACTCTCAGGGGGTGCACATGCACCCCCTACACATCGCCACTGCTGTAAATACAAGTAGCAAATTTACTTGGGAGTAATTACCACACAGTACAGCACGTATAGACTGCCAACCAGGAACAAATTTACTCCCAATTAGCCCAGCAGCAGGGGCGGGAAATTGCTCCCTGCCCCTCGGAACTGCCTGCTGGTGGGGCAGGCTCTGTCACTGGAGCCCAGGTGGGGACGGTATCCCTCTGCCCTGGCAACTGGGGCTGGGAACAATCATTTTCCAGCCCCCACTCCACAGTTGTGGAGCGGGGACCAGATACTGCCTGCTGCTAGGGCAGGAGACATTGTCCCCACCTGGGCTGTGATGGCAGAGCCCACCCCAGTGGCAGACAGCTCCAAGGGGCAGGAAGCAATCTCCCAGCCCCTGCCAGGAGACAGCTGGGCTAACAGTGAAGGGGAACATAGAGCTCCCGTGGCAGCTGCAGGAGGCCAATTCAGGGCTGGTGGGGGTGATAGCAGACTGCTTTGAGCAGCAAATCTGCTCCCGCTTCCCTGCATGTGTAGACACCTGCCTGGGTGTCTACAAGTGTAGACACCCCAGAGCATTTGCATAAATAGATGCATTCTCTCTGTCTATAATGTCATGAGTTTGTTGGTTTTATTTAAGCTGGTTTCTGACTGGTGAACGTTTATAACTAAATGATCTTGAGGAACTGATAGAGATCATCTGCTCGAGAGGTTGGCTTCTAATGAAGATGGTGGAAAATTGTACTCAGTACAACTGGGAAGTCTTCAGACTAGTCAGAATTTGCATATTAAGTTTTTTTTCTCTTGCACTAGTCTCATTCTATTTGTAGAGTTTTTCTCTGTGAACAAAGGCCAGCTGATTGGCTGTTGTGTCTACTTAAAGGACAACATTATTAGAAATGCAGATTTCTGCTCCATCCTTGGTTCCTTGCAGCTGACAGGCAAATACTGAGGCCAAACTGATTAATTAACTTTTTTAAGTAGAACCAGATGACAACTGAGCATAAAATCCCACTCTAACCTCATTATTACTATTGTGCCTACTGTAAAAGAGAAATAGTGAAACCGAGAATTTAATAGCAGCCTTCAACTACCTGCAAGCAGGTTGTTACAAAGCAGATTGAACTAGACTGTGTTCAGTAGTGGTAGATGACAAAAGGAGCAATGGTCTCAAGTTACAAGGGAAGTTTAGGTTAGATACTAGGAAAAACTATCTCACTAGGAGAGCAGTAAAGCACTGGAACAGGTTCTGCAGAGAGGTTGTGAAATCTCCATCCTCAGAGGTTTTTAAGACCTGACTAGATAAAGCCTTGGCTAAGATGCTGTAGTTGGTAGTGGTCCTGGTTTGAGCAGGGGGTTGAACTGGAAGACCTGAGGTCCCTTCCAACCTTAATTTTCTGTGGTTCTGTGATTCAGAGCTTCCAAAGAAGCTACTTATAACTCCCTGATAAAACAGGAATTAGCAAGAAAAAGGAAGGAAAAGTTTCCTATCAAGCAATAATACTTAAACAAGGAACATATTCCCTTCCATATGAACTCTGTGGGCTGAGAGCCAAATCTAACTCAGACAAGTCTTGTTTAGTTAGTTTGTATGTTTTTTAAATAAAATCTCAGCCAGTGAGTCTTGCACAATGACTCTCAGCCATTTGTACCCATTCATCTAAAAGATGAGCAGAAACTGGAAACGTTTTTCTGAGACCCTCATCCCAATTTGGAGCGGTGGGTAAAATTGAATCCAGGCCTGAGTCATTCTTGCAGTGTTGCCAGACTCTGCAATTTTATCACAATTTTTGCAGTGTTTGATATCTTTCTTAGACAACCTGCTGCTAGAGTCAATGGTTATATCCAAATTAGAGTTTGCTTATTTTCATGAAAACTAAGCCTTTGAAATATCATCCCTAAAGATTAATATCAGAAAGCAAATAAGCAGGACTCACAATGCACTCATAGTTTTTAAGCCATTATTTTTATTTTTGGGACCAAACTCATAATTCTGAAATACTTGGGTTGACAAGGCTGCTTTTATAAAAGTTGAACCCCACTGATGACGCTACCTAAACCTAAACCACTGCAGCATGTGCCCATCTTCACTCTCCAGATACTTGATTAGCTGGCTTGTACTTCATAGCAAGGATACTGACCCTCCTGTGGGACAAGGGTATTACAGAACTCTGGCCTGTGTCAAGTAACTATCCTACAAGTAAAACAAGAGAGATTACTTTGCTAAACCCAAATGTTTACAGTGTCCAAAGCCACAAACTTAGGGGGTAATCAAGGCAGGGACAGGGCCCTCTTGGCCTCTCTTCTCCACCATTTCTCTTGCCTGGAGTATCTCACTGGCTTTGGGTCTACATGCTGCAATATTGGATAATCTGCATTGACACCACATCTGTTAAATGGCACAGGCCACTCTGGATCATGCCAAGGTCAATGGGATACCATCTATTGATTCCAGTGGCAGCAGAAGCCAACCATGTGCGACTGTGGAACCACTGATGAGAAATGTCTGGGACAACTTTTGGTACAAAAATTAATTTTAAAAACAAACATTTCCTGCCTCCACAATGGGCTCAGTTGTTTTGGATCCCCCCCACCCACGGATGGTGCATGTTTTTCAGCTTCCATCTGGTACCATTTCATCTCCAGAAACATATTATAATAAACTTTGCTTCATTTCAGTGTGTGGGAAGGGTGTTATTTAAAAAAAAATAACAAACCTCCTTTATAAAGTGGCTGTAACCCTCATGCAATGACCTTTAGTCAGCTGGGTTTTGGATTCTATTCCTGCTCCTGCTCTTGGTGGATCAATGCCTTTGTCCCAGGTACCACCAGTTGTGTGGGCACCCTCCAAGGAAATGTGATAAATAAAGGGCAAAGCCTTCATCTTCAGAGTTAGTCCCTCCACAACAAAGCTAGAGCACATTGGCAGGGCAGTGCAGGGAAGCAGCTGCTACACATACCAGTTTGGTACTTTCATGAATGTTAACATTGAGATAGGGGAAAAAAGCAGCCATTGTCCCTCCTGTCCCCTGTCCTATACATGCTGCTGTTGGCATTCTTATGGCAAAAGGAATATCATTTGCAGAGTATCTCCTGCATCTGAGCTGAGAAAAGAGAGGGGCAATGAAAATGGGCATCTGATCTTAGCAAGAATCTGCTGAGACTTGGAAAGTGAGCAAGTGCATACTAGCCACTGTGTAGGAGTAAAATGCACTGAGAGGATGTTGCTAGCATAAATTGAAGGCCCATCCTCCCTTGAGAGCCATTCGAACCTCTCTGAAAGCTGTGAGAAGAACAGCCAGTAAACATAGCACTTTGGAATGACAGAAAAATAGCCTCATTTGTGCCTGGATCAATCTTTTGTCAACCTTAACTGGATGGCTGCTGGCTTTAGTACCTCCACTGTCACCCAGAGACATCTCATGGGGAATAAAACCCTTGTGAGCACCTACCCTGTCAACTCCGGCCCAATTGCAGGGATGGTAGATGGAGTGTAGTATGAGACTCAGCAACATTCAGGCAGTTTTGCATCTCCCCAAGGAGCAAACAGTTGGGGTTTTGTGAATTATGATGTGTGGAAATATAGGATTTTCTTTTTGCTATTTCTTTGCTAGGTACAAAAGCTGATGGCAGGTCCCCTTGTGTTTGGGGAGAGGACACCAAAAGCAGAAGCTTGCATTGCCTGTATATATCCTTGGCTCTTTATCATTTTGTCTCCATTGCCTCTTGTCATTAATTCTTTCCCTTTTTTCACTCTACCTTCACGCTTTCACTCATTTTTACCTCTCTGTTTCACTCCGTCTATTCCTTTGAATTTGCAGGTTTGCTTCAACAAGTGATAAGCTCTTCCCCTGTCTTAGAGAGCACTGGAGTCAGACCCCTTTTGCCTCTCTTCAGGTTCTATCATGATGCTTCATGCCCCAGGACACCTGTGTGTAAGTAGCTCAAGGCACCAATGCCAATACAGACATCAGCCTTGTTTCAGCTGCAACTTTGACAACCAGCAGAGGGCACCAGTACCGATGCCAGGTAAGAGAACTCAGGTAATCTTTGATTCTGAGCTCTGAGCCCTTCCTCTTTGAAACAGCTTTTCAAGTCTGTGATTGAATTAGCTTATGATTTGTCAAGACAGAGGCAGAACAGATTTGCAGGTGTCATTCATCATTCATCCCCTACATTCAGAGAAAATTCAGGACAGTGTAACCTGCATGGCTTTTGTCCTCCCAACCTGGCATTTGGAGGCCCTTTGTGCTGGAGATTCTTAAATGAAGATGTTGGCCCAAGAACTGATTGAATGTGGCCTCTGTTGCAGTTGAATATTGGCATGGTGGTTTCTCTCCAATTCAGTTCCTTCATGTTACCTTCTGAATGTTTCTGGGAGCTCTAGTATTTCATCTTCAGGGCTGTGCCACAGATCTTTAGCAACCTTGAAGCACAGACAATCAGGATGTGAGCAGGTGAACCCAGAAGGAGACAGAACGTCTGTGTAGTGGAGTAGGGTAGAAGTGGATCAGCAGAGGAGAATGTGGCCTTGCTTAGCCCAGGGCCACTTGATTCATATGGCCAACTTAGGGTGTTATTTTATCATGTTCTGTTTGAAGCTGCTTTGCTTCAATTCCAGCTTTGTGGGCAGCTTTCTAGAGCATGCAATAACACATTTACTTTTCTCCCCTTCTTCCTGTGAGAGTGTGACCCTCTCCCACCATACAGCAGGTGCCAAGGCTCACCCGCTTGTTTCCAGATGCTTCCACTTCAGAGCTTGCAACTTGCCCCCCTTTGCAATAAGGGATGCCTCCCCGCAGCTATAAATGGATTCTATGGAAAGGTCCATCTCTCTTTGGAGAACAAGGCACTTTGGGAGGAGTTCTACTCTCTTGGCACTGAAATGATCATCACCAAATCTGGCAGGTGAGAACAAACCTGTATCACCAGGCATGACTGTTGCACAAATTTTTTTGTCCTCTCCATGCTTACCTTACCTTGGGCTGCATCCCTTTGGATTCCATCAGCTGTGCCACTCTGCAGCTGTTTTTTTAACCTGTCTCTTAGTGGTTCTCCCTGTCTAGCCAGCTTAGTGTTGTGTCTGCCATTGCTGCTCAAGCTGATGTGACCAATGTGCTGAGTCCCCCAAAGTGATGCTGAGTTCTGAGTCTAAGCATGCTACCTGCACACAACCCAAGCTGAGATATGCACTTGAGTATTTAATCATTGGTGGGCAATAGTCCAACAATATTTACTAAGGAAAAATTCCATGCCATACAGCCTACTAAGAGCAGTGACACCATAGCCATGGGAGAGCACACAGGATGAAATATCCCATGTACTACAGCTTTTTTAATATGATACCTATAATTCAGTAATACAACCTCACTGTACTTTTTCAAAGGTGTGGCTCAGACTCCTTCCTTTTAAATTGTTCTATAGATATATACCCCAGGGTTGCTCCCCAGATCCTGAATAAAAGAATTCAGTGTATTCTCTGGCTAGGATCTTCAGTTTTGATTACATATAGCACAGTGACACTCCCCAAAGAATGATACTATGACCCCTTTGGATGAATTCTGTAATGTGTAATCAATCATAAAATTAAATCTCTTTCTTTTAACTCTTCTTTTCCCCCTCTGCAGACGTATGTTCCCACCCTGCAAAATGATAGCGTCAGGCCTGGATCCTCATTCTCTCTACCTGATGCTGATGGATATAGTACCTTCAGACAATGCACGGTATAAGTGGCACTGTGGCCACTGGGAGGTGGTTGGAAAAGCTGATCCCCACTTCCCCAGCCACTTCTACCTCCATCCAGATTCCCCTGCTCCTGGCAGTCACTGGATGAAAGAACCTATCTCGTTCCAGAGACTCAAGATCACCAACAATACCCTGGAGCAGTGTGAACATGTAAGAAAAGCTTGGCCATTTCACCACACTCAGTGTAGAATAGAAGTGTGGTGCTGCAAAGTACTAGTCCATAGGTAGCCTTGGCCATTGCACATAACTGTTCTAGGATGGCGTCTAATACCTTTCTGCTGATCTTACACGATAAGGAGAGTACTGTTCTCCCCTTTTCATAACCATCACTGATATTGATATTAATGTGAATTATGCTCCACTTGGAAATAAGAGTGGGAAAGGTCTGTTAGAGCCTCTGACTCAGCTCCTGTCAAGACATTAACCATCACCCCTTTTTTTGGAAAGCAGCCCCTCTTAAACCTGATAGGGTCCTGTATTCCACTTAGCACATGAACAGTTATTTAGAAGTGGTAGGGTGTGGCTGCACTGTGCCACTCTATCTGCAGTGTTTCCAGGTTGCTCTTCTGAGCCCATGGAGTGCTGCTGGCAGTGATAGGAGGAAGAGACAATGATGTTATTAGATCTTCCTGACTGTTGTTTCTCTTTGTCTTTAGATTATTTTGCACTCGATGCACAAATACCAGCCACGGTTCCATGTGGTACTGACCAGCCGCCACACATTCACCCTTCCCTGGAATGCTGTGACTACGTTTGTGTTCCCAGAAACAACATTTATGGCTGTGACAGCTTATCAAAATTCCGAGGTGACTTTTCTTTCCGTCCTCTTCCATCTCCTTGTTCCTTGACTTGGCACAAACCAAAGAAACAAAGCAGGAGTCACTGAAGAGTAAATAAACCTTCTCTCAAAGCAGAATGAGCATTAGCCTGGCGAGCTAATGAGTGATGAATATGATGGGTAACGGTTCAGATACCAAAGCTATTAAAATATTGGGTGCTTACGGACCTGGAAAAAACCCAAAACTTCACTTTACTTTCAGCCCAGCATGCTCCCACGCCAAGCACAGCACATGCCCAGAAGAGGAATTGTGTCAGTTTGAGCTGGTTCACCCAGCATCTGTATAGCTCATGTGTTTCAGTGGGGCTTTTTGGCATTTCTGTCTAATAGGTGATTCAATCAGCTATTGGATAAAAGCACCAAAAAGCCCAGCTGAAGTGCACAATCTTTATAGACTCTGGGGAGCCGAGTCAAACCGATGTGATTCCTCTTCTGGTAAAGCGCTGTTTTGTTTTGTTTTTTAACATGTCTGTCAGCACTCATGTAGATGAAGGGGCTTAGTAGAGACCTAGAGTCAAATCCTTGCCAAATTATAAGTGAAAATGTTTAAGTCTGATGATGTAACTGATGGCATTTGTCCACATCACAAAGAATCCTTTGTAATTTTACCATGGCTTTGTCTGAAGAGAAACCCAGTACTGGAATAGCTAAAGATGCTTTCATTTCAGAAATGAGATTTAATAACTTAAATAAGTTGTGATATATAAAGGGTCACACTAGATCTAATAGTCCCTTCTGACCTTCCACTCTAAATTTCAGCCAGCCATATATTATATACCAATCTCAACAATGCATGTTAAACTAAAACATTTCAGTCCACAGATGGCTAAAATTGTGTCTCACAGCTAGAGATCAGAAGTACCAAGAATGCAGTGGCTAGAAAATTAGATGATATCTTTATTTATTCGATGTATATGTGGCCCTTCCTGATAAGGGCTTGGGGTGTCTTATAACTTAAAAAACAGGTAAACAAGAGAATAAAACAAGATGCTCAGGTTATCATAGTAAAATATCCATGCTCCATCCTGCACAGAAAACCCTGGGTTTTTATCAATCTGACCTGAGGAAAAAGTCCTGGTCAGCCCTAGATCATCTGGTAATCACCTGGTAATTAGACCTGAGCATGAGACCAAGGCTAACCAGGCAGGCATCTGAAAGACAACTCTCTGTACTATCACACAGTGCTGGTGCATTGGTATATGGGCAACGCTATGCTTGGGAGGCAGTATAGCATGGTTGACTCTGGCAGGCATCCTCAACCCTTCATTTTCAAGACTACCAATTTGATTCTGAACATGAAAAAGAATGTGATGAGCGTGATTTCTCTGTGCTTTCTCCTGGGTAACTGTGGTGACAAAAATGAGAAAACCAAAGAACCTCTTAACAGTCAAGTGCATTTTTTCTATTTTCTAAGAACCAGCACATTTAAGTACTAGATTTGGGATGTAGTCTGCTCCTGGGCTCTTGCCCACAAGGACAGCAGTTGCCCTGGTTTCACCATTTTCTGTTTCCAGATTTCCAGAAGGATTTTCTTCTTAGTAGTTTCTTGTCCCATTTGCTCTTCAAATAAACTCCATTTTTAAATGGATGGGTGAGACTAGTCATTGCACCAAAATATTGGAGAGTATCAGCATGACTAAACATTTTCCTCTCATTCCTCTTCCTCATTCTTTCCCCTTCTTTTCTCTTCCTTTTCATGTTTTATCTCTCACTCTCCTTTTCCTCTCTTCCTCTTTCTTCTTTCCTTTTTTCTTAAACCCTTTTGCTTATTTGCTGCTGCTTTGTGTCTCCGTCCTCAGATGTCTTCTATCCATTTTTCTCTCTCTTTTTTATTTCCCCATCCCAGATTACCCAGATGAAGATTGATAATAATCCATTTGCAAAAGGCTTTAGAGAGAATGGGCTCAGCTATAAGAAAAATCGGTAAGCTGTTTCTTCAAGCAATTCCGGCTATGCCAAGCTGCCTAGATCTTTTCCACACAACACATTAGGGAGAAATCCCCCACATTTTATTCTCACTGGTACAATGTTATCATTAGCACCCTTTCTGTTAGTGCTCCCGTGATTGCCTCTGTTGGGTTGATAGTACTTTACCATTAATAGTGAACCATAGGCAATCCCAAAAAGACTGGTGTGCTTGAATTTGAAACAACATTTATTTTTCCAGGACTGGTTTAGTTTAACTTTTGGATTCATGGAATCCTGATGATGTGCACCTGACTAAGAGACATAGCTGCTGCAGCTCAGACATGGCTTTTCTAAACTGTCTTTTAAAAGGAGCATGGGAAACATAGTTAGAAAGTGCCACTTAAAATGAGTCCTGATGTGGTTTTATATGGATAGAGCCAAACTTTTTAGAACTGTGATTAAAATCTCTAAAGATCCAAGCTAAAGTATGTTTATAAATCTGGTAGTGCCATTCCTTGTTATTCAAGCAAACCTTGGTAGACACTAGTTGTGTTGAAATATCAATTATACATTGCTGTATCAAGATAATTTCACTTTCCCCTTTAGTTTTGTTGTCTGTTTCTTCCTTCCCATGCCTGGGCTGTTGCCAGCTTTGTTGTTTCATCTGCTCTGATTATAAACTCTTGGACAGGGATGAAAATCACCAGGCAGAGCAGCTGCACTAAATGCAGAGCAGTAGCTCCCCCTGTTTGGAAATGTTGGGGTTTTTATACTTGAGTTTGGGGCTCAGCGTACTCCTGGCCTAAATCAAGTGTGGGTGCAGAATAAACAAAAAGTTTACAAGGAAGCTTTAACCAGCTAACCTATTCTTTGTCTTTATTACATAGGGAAGAGAAGTAGTATGCATGGGGGTGGGTTGGAGGTGCAGGTATTTTGGGAGTTGTGGGTGTAAGTACAAGGGTGGAGGCATTATATATTTGTGTGAACACCTGTAAATGGACATGTGTAAACAGATGTTTCTGTACTGTGTTAGGCTGAATTTGTTTTTCTTCATTGTAGAAGGAAAAATGTCAGAGGCACTGAAACAGTAAAGCAAGCAAGTGTGGAGGAGACATGCTGTGAGCTCCCCACTGGTAAGTGTGAAGCAGACCATTTGTTCCTTGCATGCCCAAAGCCGTCCCAGAGTTCACTAGAACTGGATCTTCCTATGTTCAGAGCAGAACTTTTACTATAACAAACCGGTAACCTCAGGAGTGATAATTCAGAGGAACTCCTATCCCAAATATGATTTCCATCACTTCCTAAATTCCCACTTAGAAACTGAATGCGAAATTTGAGCATCATCACTGATTGTGCTTCACAGTCATTTGTTCACCTCAAAGCCACATGCCACCCAGTGATTTCCCAAGGAACTGCAACTTATTTATTCAGTTGTTAACACCACCATGCACCTAAACAACCCAAAAACATTTGTCCACTCTAGGAGGGCTAATTTTTAATTTTTTTTAAATGCATCTACCCAATATGATGCCATGCTTTTATACTCACAGCAGGGAATGTTTTGAGGTTTAAATTTGCCTTTAATCATTAAGGATGTAATAAAAACACGAAAAGTTCTTTGAGCTCCAGAGTGTTAACCAAAGAGAAATTTACTCTGGAGTTTACAAATGTGAGCTGAAGAGACAAACTGGGCAATAAAATGCACAACCAGGGACCAAACTGGCTTAAATGTTGGTCTGTAGCTGCCCATCAGGAGTTGAGACTCGGAGAAAACAAGCTATTCAGCACCTTCAAAGTCATAAGATCCTGGTCATAAACATTTCACAGTATACTGGGGGTAGCGGGGAGGAGCCTCAGGCCTGTGATTCCTCGCTGAACCTTGTGCCCGGGCCCATGATCACAACAAAGGACAAGGATGTGGAACTTGCTAACTTGAAAAAAATGGAGAAATTTGAGATAAACCAGTAGCTGCATGAAAAAGACAGAGTAGTAATGATGTAAGTGTATGCAAATGTATGTAAATCCATAGGCTATAGGATCCACCACTAGGCCCCTGGAATCCATGACACCAGACAGGTGTTTTTCCATGCCTGACAATCCTGTCTAAATTGTTTGTTATTGACACAGATCTCATTATTGCTACCAGGTGCTGATCAAGTTGGGTGAGAGAAAATACAGCTCTGAAACCATCCAGAAAACTGAAATTGTTTTTGCTTCTGCTCTGTGTGGTCTACCATTTTGACTGGTGCTTCCTGCTTATGATGAACGTAACTTATGGCTTTTTGTTACTGGTTTCAGGTTCCCTATAGAGCATATGTGTCCCATCATAGATTTCTGAACATGTACCTTGTAAATCTAGTTCTGAGTTTAGTTCCTTCTTTTCATATGTCCTGTAACTCAGTCCATCAGCTCACATTCTTCCTGCAAGTTATAGATATATCTTCTGGCTCTCAGAATTCAGCTTCTTTCTTCCTGTAGGATGCATAGTTTTTTGGGGGTATCTAATTCTGGCTCCCTTTCTTAAACAGTATACGTATACCACGGCTGTATAGTGTTTTACATGCATTTGGTCTACATATACATCATATTTTAATAGAAAAAAATAAGGTAAATAGCTTAATACAGAAATAGGGATGAATTAATGTAAAATTAATATAATCAAGGAAGTAAGACCAGATTTTTTTCTTTTTTTTTTTTAATTATATTTAAATTCTTCCATTTCTATCGTATGCCACACTTAATGTAACCAGTCTGCACTAGAGGATGGCAGGATGCATTTCCTAGCCGTAACTTTCCAACCAGTTTTAGCTTTTGTTATCATGTTCTGGCTCTCATTTCCTTGTCCCAAGTATTATATCTTGTAGCTGAAACTTAATACCTGTTTTACTAATAATGATCCTAGTTATTCTCTGAAAGATGGAATTTTGTAGCAAGTCTGTAAAATATGTTGAAAGACGAGAGCTATGGGAAAGAGTACAGTTTATAAAAAAACTTTGGATCTGAGCATTTAAATATTTAAGCAAGTTCATTAACTCTTTGTAAGTTGTGCCACAGTCTCCTTTACTTTACTGTTAATTTTATATTATGACAGTAAAACCTTATTGCACTATAGTATAGTATTATATTGAATCAGTCTTACAATGTGGCTGTATCCCACTTATTTAATAAGCAAAACTAAGTTTCAAACTGATAAATTGATCAAGGTCTGTCTTATAACATGGCCATTTGATAAGTGAATCTTCTAATACTTGCAAAGATTAATCATGGTATATTTGCAGAAACAAGAGTAAAGTTCTGGTTTATCTGAGCCCTTAAGTCAAAGGAGTTTTGACGTATGGGTCTGGGCCTGGCCCTTTCTGGTTTCAGGAAGAGATTGGTAAACCTGAGAGCATGTTTATTTTGCAGAATCTTGTCAGTCACATTTTTGTGCCGTAAAATCACACCGGGGCTTATTCTAATCTTGGTCTCTGTTTAGTTGAACCGACAATGTTTAAGGTTCCACCCTGTGCAGTTTCTGCCTTTGTACTACTATGTCTGTGTATTAAATATGCAGTGTTTTGTTACCACCTTCACCCTGTAAAATGTATATTTTCTGTCTCTGGCAGTCATTCAGTTCTTCCTTTGTTGTTGACTTCTCCTTACATAATGCCCAGGTGCACTAATGATAGGGGCTTCCCAGGAAGTCCACAAGAGGGAAAGCATTGTACTGTATTATGCTTTGTGGCTCCTTTCCTCCTCTTGGTTGTGTTGTGAAGCTGTTTTTGCTGTCCTGTCCTCTGCAAGCTGTAAAGCATTTTCTAAAGGTGTTTTTGTGGATTTGAACGGGACAGAGTGCTGAGCAGTGTCTGTGAAACACAATGGACTGACAGGAAAACAGTGCACCTAACATCAGGAGTCTGAGAACTTGAAAGAGCACAAGGCCTCAAGATTTTTACTCTAGCCTGAACTCAGCCTGTAGTGTTAAGTGGCTGTTAAGTATTTCCCTTCTTGTCTCAGTGCTAAACAGTCAGTTGGGAGAAGTGGGTGCAGATTACAGAGGGGAGATGGGAGGGGGATATGAGAAAGAGAAGAGGGAAGCAGCTTAATTTCTCCAATTCACAAGCATATTCCTTTGACCAGATACCACAATCCACAAACCTTCCAGAAGTGACGCCTTGGTTAATGTTGTAATACGTTATTTTATATTTACATTTGCTTTTACCCCAGAGGTTCTCACAGTTCTTGCAAGCTACATACAGCATCACTGAAATGCAGCCACCTCTGAGGTGGTAACAGGAGCATGACCAGTGCACCTCACACTGCACCACGATTCAGGAGTCCTGTTGTGAATTAACATGGAGATGCTACCAACAGGCACCTTCTAACCAACGTATTAAACAGTTTCAAGTATTTGTGTTATTCCAAATGTGATTTTTCTTTTTTGTGAATACACAGAAGACTTCAGGGCTAATACAATTCAAGACTCAGCATGCAACTTTCAGCCCTGCAAACCTCTGGCTGGTACTGACCTTTCACATCTGAACAACTGACAGCTGATTTCCCAAGAAAGAGCACTCAAAATTTGTCATTTAAAAAATGCAGTGTGTTGTCATCATCAGAGGAAAGCAGTGCTTCACCTGAGGTACAGTAAGTAGCTACCAAGAACCCACTCCTTATATTATAACACAAAAGGAAATTGGATTTTTTTATCTAACATGTAAAAAGTTCTACACATTAGGAACCTCTTCAAATGATAATATTTTGCTGTTTTCTGCCACTTTATTGGATGATCTCAAAGCACTTGTTGATGATCTCAAAGCACCAGTTTTGGCTTCACAATACTCCCTGTCCCTTCCCTGAGAGGAGTCGCAGAGACCTTGCCCAAGTTCAGAATGAGGCAGTGGTAAAGCTGCGAAAGGAACGTCAACCTGATGGTCCGTTCCCTCACCTCCCATGCTTCTTGCTCAGGCATCTGATCTTTGAGAGGTGACAGATTTGCATTTGTTTTTTTTCTCTCTCCTGTGAGATGTTTGAAGTCAAAGACAAACCAGGACAGTTCACATGCTGCAGAGTTTTCCTTACTGCCATTTTGCTGCTCCAGGTCTTGAAGGGAGTAACATTGCCCAATCCTTTCTCATTCTGTATTATGCCCCATTCATGGTAGGCTCTTCCCATGCTCCCTATTCCACACACGCCAGCGTTAGCAATGCACGTACCACAGAAGTTCCCAAATAGAAGCTGGAGGTGTGGAAAGTTAATGGTTTTGGCATGTAGGGAAGCATAGGAGGCCTTTTGATATAGTGGGGAAGGCACATTGGCTAGACCTGTCCACTGAGACAATTAACAGCGTTGACATTTAAACTGTTAAGTTCCAGACCTAGTCCCTCATTAAGATGAACAGACTGCAGTTCACACAGCTCTGGCCTGTTGTTGTCTGGCTGCGGACAAACACAGGCAGACAGCACTTCTTCAGTTAAACACAAAAGTTTCCTCACACCTGTTAGGGCTTAGATGCTTTTATGAATGAAGGTTCAAGTTCTGGAGGACAATTCTGCTTCTTTCACAGTCATGGAACTGTGGTGTTCAGATGACATCCTCTTCTGACAAACTGTGAGCTCCCAAATTAAATCAGAAATGGCCCGGGCAAGGCTTAACATGTGATTTGAGACCAGCTGTTCCCCAAGGATTTGTTATCACTGACCTGGCTTTCTGTTGCACCTGCACACTCGCTCCTGGCAGTACCTTTGTACAGAGTGACTCAACAGCCCAGTTGGTGGTGTCAGGATGGGATTGTGTGCTGGAAGCTCCACATGGAAAACAAAGCTAAAAGGTTCTCAGTCTCTTGCCAAATCAGACCTTGATGAGTACGGCACAAGGTTGCTGATGTGTAATATGACAGCACCATGCTGTTTGTTACATGTGGTGTCATAGCACCTGGGAGCCCGAGGCTTGGACCAAGAAGACCCTGCCATATTCACTGTTGTACCAAACAGAATAATAACGTGGTCCCTGTCCCAAAGAGCTTGCAGCTGAGTGGTTCTAGCAAGGCTGGGATATGGCGTATGTGTGGACAACTGCAGCGCAGGTTCCTGCTGTGTTTTATCTGCTAAAAAGTTCACATGCTGTGAAAAATGCCAGAAGAAAATGGCTGTCATGTTAAAACCATTAAGACTGCTGCTTCCACTTACTCAGCTCATTGGAGAGGCACAGAATAACAGCTGAGTCACACCTCCACTCCTTTCATCCCACACCCATACCCTCCTCCCCTCATTCCCTTCAGCATGCTGGGGGATCTCCTGTGTAGAGTCAGACACAATATGATCTTTATCCACTGCTGTAAATGAGCTTGGAGCAGAGCTGTATGTCACTGACTTTCACATTTTAGTGCTTCACTATCACTCCCATCCCTCTCCTCCTCCTGGCCTCCCTCTCACCCCTCCAATTTGCCCATGAATTGTTAGACACCAGCCTTTTCACATCTGATTTCTCAGAGTACTGCCTCAGGCACACTGGGGACACACAGACAGAGGGTAATGTGCTAAATTCCCCCCTTTGCTGGTGGTGAATTTCATGGGGATTGCTGCTATTAGCCACACTTTCTAGCAATTATAACAAATTCTCTTTTCTTTCCTTTTAAAACCTCTCTATCACTGCTAGAATGGCTAGGAGAGAACTAGTTGTTAACTAGTAATTGGGAATTAATGATTCCACCTTCCCATCAATCAGCTGGAAAGAGCTGAAAGCAATGGGTATTTGCAGAAAATGTGTGTCACCAGACATTGATTCTGTGTGCCCAAATGACAGGTATAAGGGAGATCATATGATGGTGCCCTTTTTTGGCAGAAGCAATGAGTCCTGAGATGCATACCAAATTGGTTCTCCCCCCGACACACACTCACTAGTCAGGTGGTGCGCTTGTCTGAAATCCCTGGCTGTGTTGTTGCTGTGCAATTTCTGACTGAGTGGGATGCTAATTCAGCTCACTGCAAGTTTGAATGTGACCCACTTTTCTCTCTCTTCTCCCATCTTCCTCAATGAGGGCATGTCTCAGGCTCTCTGATTACAGCTCCCTCGTGTCTTTCTGCGACAGAAACTTCAGCATTAGAGAAGCAGAAGCTAAGAAAGATCCAGTGACTGCCTCCCTTGTTCTCAGTGGTGGGAAGGGGGATGGGGAGCAGCCAGAGGCATTTTTTCTATTGCTCTGCTTGCTGCTGTAGCAGTGGAGCTGAGAGCGCCAATGAAGGA